GCGGGCGCACGGGCCGGAGAGAAAACCACAAAGGAAGGAGACTCAAGGGCAGGGATCGCGTCCCTCAGCCCGCCGGCGACTGGGGACCCGAGGCCGCGCAGGGCAAGCAGTGTGAAACGCGGCACTGAGTGAGGGCACGCAGTTTAATTTTTAAAAGCAGATTTAAAGCTTTATTTAGAAATTCTTTGGTAAAAGAGGCTCCACAATTTCCGCTGCAGATTCACTGACATGGCACGTTCAGTAACTTTGAATGATCAGAAGTTATTGGTTTTTGAAGGATTTATTCAACCTACCAATATTGATTAACGAAGAGCATGCTATGTGCCAGGTGACGTTTCTCTCACTAGGGATGCATTAGGGGAAAGAAAAATTAAATCCCTAATCCCTGCAGCCTCCTCCCCCACCTCTTACATTCAGGTGGTACTTAATGTTGCCAGTTTGAGCTATTTACAATAGGTTGAACATTTGTAAGCACCCATCATACTGGAAATCCTAATTTAGTAGTGTCTGGTCAATGGTGAAGTGTATTTTCCAACGGCTTGTGAGAATCTTAGTCACTAACATTTTGCCATCCAGGAACGATGAAACTAAAAAATGTTTGGTCCTAGTCTGACAGGCGCATAAGCTACCCTGAAACCCTAGGTTATTTAGCACCTGGTTCCGAGGGGCCTACACAGCAAGTGGAAACTGACTTGCACCCCTAGTCCCTCCAGGGCGGTTTCAGGAACATACCTGGGCACACCTGACTTCTAGAACCAGGACTGGAGCAAGCTGGGAAGTCAGCGGATCTGAGACTTCGATGTTGTTCTTCTGTTTTGTTAATCCTCACATGAGGATATTTTTTCCATTGCTTTTCAGAGAGTGGAAGGAAGGGAGATGGGGGAGGGGAGAGAGACACCCAGGCTGGTTGCCTTTTGCCCTGGGGGGGGGGGCGCAGGAGGAACCCCAAGGCAGGTACTACCCTTAACCCGTAATCAAAGCCACAACCCTTCAGTGCACACCCGACACTCTCACCGCTTAGACCCACCAGCCAGGGTTTCAATGTAGTTTTTTGGAGGGGAAAAGGTATGAAGGATAATTAGAGCCAGGGCCATGATAGACCTCAACCCAAACTAATTAAATCAGAATTTCTGGGGATGGGCTTCTCTGGTAGTATTTTTTGAAAGTGCTCATCATGTATAGCTAAGGTTTCCATTAGGAGTCAAATAGATCGACGGTGCTTCTCAAACGCCGATGTACTTACAGGTCCCAAGGGAATCTCATTCAACATACTCTGATGCAGTAGGTCTAGAATAGAATTCGAAATTCCATATTTCTCACAAGCGCACAGATAATGACGACAGTGCTGGTCTTGGTACAACACTTAGAGATACAAGAAACTAAACTGCACATTCCTTGAGATGTAAGGCCCCGTTAAATACTAGTAACTGCAGAAGATATCAACTTTGTAAATGCCTTAAAATCGGTGTATTCATTTGTTTTGCTATTAATATTTCCTGGGGGGGGGGTTCTTTAACCTATTGCTGAAGTAACAAATGATCCCAAATTTAGTGATAGTAACCGTGTATTATCTCAGTAGTTTCAGTGGGTCAATCATCTCACAGCTTTTCTCAAGGTCACGTGAGATTGCAATCAAGATATTAACTGGGACCCGGCTGGTGTGGCTCAGTGGTTAAGCATCGACCTATGGTTGAGGAGATTGTGGTTCCATTCCTGGTCAGGGCACATGCCTGGGTTTCGAGCTTGATTCCCAGTAAGGGGCATGCAGGAGGCAGTCGATCAATGACTCTCTCATCATTGATGTTTCTAGCTCTCTATACCTCTCTCTCCCTCTCTCTGAAATCAATAAAGACACATTAAAAAAAAAAAAAAAAGATATTGACTGGGGCTGCGTGCATCTGAAGATTTGACTGTAACATTAACATCCACTTCGAAGATGACTCACTCACATGGATGTTGTTAGCAGGAGGCCTCAGTTTTCTGCCATGAGGACCCCTCTAGAGAATCTCTTGAGTGTTGTCACATGTCAGCTGACTTTCTCCAGAGCAAGCATCCAAGAAGGAACAAGGTGAAAACCATGTAGCCTTGGAAGTCATATAGTATCATTCTCCAAATATCCTGTAAGTTACAGGTAAGCCTGGTTCAGTGTGAAAGGAGACTATACAAGAATATGACCATCAGGAGTTAGGGATCATTGGGGTCATCCTACAGGCTGGTAGCACAGGCTTCAATCATTAAATCTTTAGGCTTCAATCATTCAATTCCGGACACTGACATAAACACATTTTCTCACTCAAAAATCCTTGATGAAAGATTTGCCCTTTTGAAGTAGTGAATACAATGATATAATACGCCAATATTTTAACACTATTCCCCAACATTATATCCCTAAGTTAAACAAAGATTACTGCTTTTCAACAGGGGCAGAGAACAAAGAGAAAGTCTTTTCATAGCTGTTATTTAGTTTTAAAAAATATATTTTGCTCTTGCTCTTTGAATTAATCTGTTTGAAGAATTTTATTCCTGAACCTCATATAAAAATTAAGACACAACCACTTTTCATAAGATATTTCCTTAGTGAGTATAGTGACATATTGACTAAGGAAATATATTGACCCAGTTGGCAAAAATTTGAAGATTTACTGAGGTGGGAAAAAAACAGTTTAGCATTAAAATTCTAATGCAAACAAAATTGGGGGGCTCTAGGTAGGCAACTATTGATTAATTTGGGTTACTTCATGATTTAAAATTCTCCCCTTTTAAGAGGTTGCAGAATTTGCTGAGTAAGTACTTTAACTGGCATTTCCTTTGTTGAAATACCCCCTTTTTTCTGACCAAGAAACAGTACCTGATTTCCTGATCATTTGTTCTTCCAAAGATGACCCAATTCTCCTTGGTGGTTGGAACATCTACCAACTATGTCTGCCAGGCACTGATGTAGAAAGGGCTTCACTAGGGGCCCCTGGCCCTGACTCTGCATCACGCAGAAGCTCCCTGACCTTACCTCTCTCTTGGTTGTGAATTCTCTGTACCTTTTTCTGACCCCTCTTGATCAAACACTTATCTGAATAAAAACTTTTGTGGAGTACTTTAAAAATAGCTTCATTTCTACGTTACAGAGAATCCAAGAATTTCAACCCAAAATCTCTTCTCCATTTTTTTTTTGCATGATTAAAAATTACCTCTTCCTGCTTTTGATATATAATACTTTTAAATTTTACATCTAGTGGATGTGAAACTTTTGTTGGCAATATCCAAGAGGGGGTTTCTCAAAACCGTGTGAGCAGAAAATACCGACCAGACAGGAAGGAGAGGTCAGCGTGCTTTGTTCTCTACACTTCTCTTTGGCTCCCACAGATTGGCAACACTGTTTTAGAGCTGCCTTTAGCCAAGTGGTAATTCCCCCTTCCCTTGACTAAGAAATACAATGCAAATTTTTATTTAGTATAATTTGTTTAAATGATATTTTATTACGTATGTACTTCCTTGTGGAGCTTTACATAAGAAAATTGCCTTGAATATCTCCTGGTTTTGCTTCATGCTACCTTATTTCTCAAATGCATTGGCTAATCTTTAATTTTGGCCAGAAACTTCTGCTTTTAAAGGCAGTTTTCCAGTGACTCCATTATTTATTACATAAAGGATGC